TACCCCAGGAAATGCTGGATAACTTGATCCTCAGCATGCCCAGGAGATCTTCGCATGTATTCGAGCCAGGGGAGGAGTTATTTGATATTGAATTCACACCTTTTAATAATAAATTGTTGATTAAGTTTAATTAAACAGTCTTTTTCTTTCTATGAAATTTCTATCACTATTACATTATGATTAATGGCTCAATTTTTTAAAATAAATAATAAAAAATAGTTTTATATTTTAATTTCAAGCAGGGTATTCCTATTTAAAGAAAGCATACAACATAGATTTTTTCTTGATAAAATTAAATTTAAAGAATTATAGGAGCTTATGCTATTGATCGCAAACTTTTTTTGATGTGTGTAGGTACTGTAATTGTTTTTAGGTGCAGTGTTAACCCTAGACAGGATTAGAACGCAACATGGACAAGCCAGGACCTAGTAAAAAACGTAAGGCTAAAGATGAAAATCGGCAGTTTCAAGAAATATGAACTGAGAAATACTTTTTTGTATGATCGCATAACAAAGTCTTTTGTTCAATTAGCAAGAATTTTGTTGCGATTGCAAAGGAATATAATGTAAAAAGGCACTATGAAACACAGCATTCTACTATTACCAAATTAACAGGCGAATTAAGAAAGCAAAAAATGTTGTCTTTAAAACGGGAGCTTATTGGTCAGCAAGCTATGTTTCCAAAACTCATTCAAGATTCAGAAACAGCTACAGAAGTTAGTTAGGAAATTTCTCGAATGATAGCAAAGCGAAGTCGCCCCTTCAATATTTTTTTGTAAAAGAATGCATAGAAATTGCCGCTAAGAAAATGTGTCCAGAAGCAGCAAAAAAGTTTGAGAAAATTCAACTGAATCGTATGACAGTCCAAAGACGAATTATGTCTTTGTTAGGTAATATTGCGGAACAATTAACTGAAAAAACTAAGATCATTGAATTTTTTTCATCAGCACTCGACGAATCCACTGATATTAGTTCCACAGCTCAACTACTCATATTCATACGAGGTGTTACTCAAGATTTTGAAGTCGTAGAAGAGTTATTAGGAATGTGTTCATTGAAAGGTCAAACCAAAGGAGTTGATATATGCAATGTACTTTTTGCACTTTTGGATAAGTGTTCAAAAACTGGTTTGGACTTATCAAAATTATCGGGAGTTGCGACTGACGGTGCTCCTTCTATGATTGCTGTCAATTCCGGGCTAGTTACCTTGCTAAAAAGTGTCTGCAAAAAAAAAAAAAAACATAAACGCTGAAGATCTCATGCAGTTTCACTGCATTATACACCAAAAAGCCCTCTGTTCTAAAAAAATTGAATTTCTAAATGTCATGAAAGTGGTAGTTTCGACTGTAAATTTCATAAAATCACGAGGACTCAATCACAGGCAATTCAAACAATTCCTTGATGACATCGAAAGCGAATATGGAGATTTGCTGTTTTATACAGAAGTAAGGTGGCTAACTCGTGGATTGACACTGGAACGATTTCTAAATTTAATAGAAGAAATTGGAATATTTCTGGCGGACAAGCAAAGGGATGTCCCGGAACTTAAAAATCCTGGTTGGTTGTGTGATTTGGCTTCTTTAGTTGACATTACAAATCATTTGAATGTCTTGAACACACGGCTTCAAGGCAAAAATCAACTGATATCCCAGCTCTACGCTCACGTATCATCCTTTCAATGCAAGCTGACACTTTTCAGATCGCAACTGAATTCTGGAAATTACAATCATTTTCCAAATTATAAGAAAATGGCCGAAAAATTCAACAAAACTGCGATTAATTTCAGTTATGTAGAAAAGCTAGATATTTTGATTCAATTTTTTCAAGACAGATTTTCGAACTTTAAAAAAGTGAAACCTCTGTTGGACATATTCAGCAATCCTTTCACGATTTCAGTTGAAAATGCGCCAGAGTCAATGCAGTTACAAATTATCGACATTCAAAACGACCAAGATTTACGCAACAAATTCAACGAAGGAGACTTGTTGAACTTTTACCACTGCATTGATAAAAATATGTACAAAGAGTTGCGCATAAACGCTTTGAAATGTGCCAGCTTATTTGGTTCTACCTATATATGTGAACAAACTTTTTCAATACTAAATAATAATAAAACAAAAAATCGAAACCGCCTTGCAAATGAAAGTTTGGAAGCAGTTTTACGCGTTGCTACAAGTAAATTTGAGCCAAATATAAAAAAGATTGTGAGCACTATGCAGTGCCACGCTTCAAATTAATAAATTATTTTTAAATTTTAATACATTATTATCAATTCTTTATTGTCTTTAATTACCTATACTTCTGACGGCCCGCCATCAATTCATGATTTGGCCGAGTGGCCCCTAGTCTTAATAAGTCTGTGCATCCCTGCCATAGACCCTCAACACATTGTGACAGTCTAATTTTTATGCCCAAAGAAAAAATCTTGAACTAATCATAATTAAAATGGCTCGCAATGAACCTGGCTCGTATAATACTACCTCTTCCATTTTCTGGCACAGCTGCCGCTACAATTACTCTCTCGCTTATTGGTTCTGGCAAAACTTGGTTAGTAGAAATACTAATATTGTGCAGTACAGCACAGGCGACTATAATGTTAGGCACATTTGTTATTTTATGTTGCAACTTTTTACTTAAACAAGCGAATCTTCGCTTCAACACCCCATTGAGCCTTTCAATTATATTTCTAGTACTAATGTGTGCTCTGTTGTATCGCTCCTCTGGTAGAGTTTGTGAATTAAGCACAGGAGTGTACAAATAAGCTGTTTGTGCATATCCACTGTCCCCCAAAATAATTCCAGCACTTGCTAAATCACCTTCTTCTAAGCGCATGCAGCAACGACTATTTACAAAAATTCGAGAATCATGGGCAGACCCAGGCCACCTTGCCACAATATGTCGTAAATTATCATCTGCGGACCGCATACGATTTGGACATTGATGGAGAATTCGCCTTTACGGTTTCTGTAAAGCTCTCTATGTACTCGACTTGGGTTTTTAATGGGTATGTGAGTGCAGTCAATACATCCAATAACTCCGGGGAACTGAGCACGTTCATAAAATGCTAATTTATCTTCTGCTCTGCCATGTGCTTCAGGGAACTTGACATATTGTCTCACTTTCATGGCTAAAATTGTACTCCCTTTAGCCACTATTTTGGAGACAATTGATTGGCTGAATTTGTGCAGATCTCCACATACAATCTGTTAAAAACGATGTAACTTAGTTAATACAAATTTGTGTGTTAGGTATATACTTATGCTAAATTCTTAATACACCAAAATATATTGTATTAACGCTTTCGAAAAAAATTGCAGCTAGCCGATGTCACTTACCTGAAAGCTTCCAGTGGCATAAAATCTTAATAATATTAGTAACTGGTAGATCGGTGGTATTTGTAGTCCTTTGTTGGTTTCTTTTGGCACTAAACCAATCAGAGGCAATAAAATATCAACAACTGTTTCTTTTCTAAATCGAAACCTTTTTTGGAATTGATCGTGGTTGTAAAATTCTAAAGGATTTTCTGCGTCTCTCAGATACCGCCATGCCGGATAATCATAACTATTGTCATGTACGTAATCCATGAAATCCTCGAAATCGTCAAAATCACACATCAACCGTTTTCTACGGTCGAGGAGGCCTTAAGGTTGGTCGCGAGGTACCTCAAGTTTGACAGTTTATTCCTCGACTCCACTGAGGAAAATCCTTAAGTCGAGGACGCTTATGTCAACTTAAAATACCAATAACCTTGGCTGAGGTTGAGTCGAGTGGAGGAACGACTCGAGTAAACAACTAAGAATACGGGTGTCAGATACTACCATTTTGAGGATCCTACACGATCATCTTGGCATGACGAAAGTCAGTGCAATATGGGTGCCGAGATTGCTCACGCCGCCTCAAAAGCAACAAAGAATCGATGCATCAAAGTACTTCTTGGAGCTGTGTGGCGCAGAACCTACCCCAATTTTGGAGCAAATTGTTACTGGAGATGAAAGTTGGGTTCATCACTTTGAGCCCGAGTCCAAACAGGAGTCAATGCAATGGCATAAAAAGGGTACACCACCCCCTAAGAAGTTTAAGGTGTCGGAATCGGCTGGAAAAATCATGGCTACGGTTTTTTGGGATTGTAAAGGAATTTTATTGGTTGACTACAAAGAAAAGGGGGTCAATATAAAGGGAGAATATTACGCAAGAACATTAGAGAAACTGAAGGAAGCTGTCAAAGAAAAAAGGCGGGGAAAATGAACAAAGGGTGTGTTGCTTTTGCAAGACATCGCACCGGTTCACAAGAGCAATGTTGCGATGGCTGCTCTACACAAGTGTGGCTTTCAATCGCTGACCCACCCACCTTACAGCCCGGACCTAGCCCCCAGCGATTATTATTTGTTCCCAAATGTGAAAAAAGATTTACGTGGGAAAAAATTTCGCGACGATGAAGAGGTTAAGGCAGCAATTTTAGCTCATTTTGAGAGCAAAGAGAAAAAATATTTTTTCGATGGCATAGAAAAGCTAATTTCGAGATCTAAAAAATGTATTGAGCTCTAAGGTAATTATATTGAAAAGGAAAAATAGCCTTATTGTTTTATATTATTTACAACCCCTCCATTCCGCGGACTTTTGGACCTCCCCTCGTAATTCTATGTTACATCGTTCCATTGCAAATGTCAGAGGTCACCACGAATGGAACACAGATTTTATGGCAAAACCCAAGTCCGTCCTCATCTCGATATATCCGAATCATTCGCCTGCAGATTGAGAAGGAGACAAAAGAATTCGTTAAACATAATTACGAGGAAATAAAGGACCCACAAAATCTGGGGCTATCACAGGCCTAGATCCTGATTTTATAAAAAGATTTACCAACATCCTCAGTGTTTTATCGTGTGGATTTAGCGTAAATTACATTAGTTTTAAAAACTACTGCATCGAAACTGCGAAAATGTGCATCGATCTTTATAATTGGTACAAGATGAGTGCATCTGTGCACAAGCTATTAATACACGGTGCAGATATAATAAAGGAGCTACCTTTGCCCGAGGGGTTGTTTTCAGAAGATGTGCTGGAAACCAGTCAAAAAGAATTCAAAGGTTTACGACTTTTCCATGCTCGAAAAACCTCCAGAATTGACACCAATACCGACATTGTGCACTGGATGCTAATAGCTTCTGATCTAATCATTGCATCCAAAAGGAGGAGCCATCACAAAAAAAGAAAACCATTTTCTAAGGAGGTGCTGGAAATGTTGGATGTGCCACTAGTAGAAACCATCGAAGACAAGGAAAGTAATGACGAAGAATCAATGGATGATCATGACGACCGTGATAGTAATTAACTACATTGTTTACGACATAATTGACGTATAATTTATAATTACATGTACTTTAATTAAAATATACAAATTTGATTTTCAATTCTATTTTATTTTTATAATCTATAAATACCTTTTTAGGTAGGTAGGTACTTAGACATCTTCTCAAATCTCAACACAAAGTAGCCCTATAGGTAAGAAATATATCTAAACATAAATGCACATATTACTTTTTTGACCCTCTAAAGTGGTCATTTTGCCGTATGTGCGCCGCCTACATTACGCGCTCGAGAAGTATTATCGCGCCTCAGGACGGATCATATGAACGCTGAGGAAAATGCGAATATAGAGGCTTTATGTTCACGTTACGCCGACGTGTTTTATTTAGAAGGCGAATCATTAACATTTACGAACAAAACAAAACACTGTATCAATACGACTGATGAAGTACCTATTTATGCGAAAAGTTCCCGATATCCATTCACACATCGGAATGAAGTTCGCGATCAAATAGATAAGATGTTAGAGCAGGGAATAATTAGACCATCTACTTCGGCATGGAGCTCACCCATATGGGTCGTGCCTAAGAAGGCGGACGCATCGGGTAAGCAAAAGTGGCGCTTAGTGGTAGATTTTCGTAAGTTGAACGAAAAGACTATCGACGATAAATACCCTATACCTAACATAAACGACATTCTTGACAAATTAGGCAAACGTATGTACTTTACCACTTTAGACTTGGCATCAGGCTTTTTCCAAGTGGAAATGGATGAGGCCGATATCCCAAAAACCGTCTTTAACGTAGAGCACGTGCACTACGAATTTTTAAGAATGCCTATGGGAACCCTTAATTCGACGCTGTGAAGTATACTTCCCATTGAATGAAAAAAAAATCTTAAATTAGAATTTAAATTAAAAATTTATAATTAAAAAATTAGAACTCTAGGTGTATAATTGCATTTTAAACTATCTAACTACGCTGTCAAAAATCGGCAACGCGTACGCATCGACAAGACGCGAGCAGTCACCGGCGCGATGGCGGAAGGAAGGACGCGCTGCGCGGGCTTTCGGTAAGTTGCACTTTATTCATTATTATACGCCTTTTTTGCTGGTAATATCATTGAAAACTAAAGATAACTTGTCCAGAAAGTTACTTATTGAGTTCGGTTAGTTTTTACGACGCCCACAACTTGCATGTCAAGTATACTTCCCGTTGTCGAATTACTAGTAAAATAACTGCTAAATGCTATGTCCAGTATTCTTCCCCTTGTCAAAGTAGCAGAAAACTAAATACAAAATCGTTTGTGTAGTATTCTTCTCGTTGCCGTATTATTAGAAAATTAACTTTTGTTGTTTCTAGTAATACTATTTCAGGGATCCGTAGGTAAAATGTTTGACACCTTCCTATTTTTTATTTTCCAGAGCTTCAAGTCTAGGGGACAACGCTTAGTAGCATTAGTGCCGCCTGAAAATGCTCTTTCAGATATAGATAGCGCTTCGGAACCTGAAAATGAAGAGGAAATAGCTGTTCATGCAACTGAAGAGTTGTCCTCCTCACCCTGCCCTTTCATCGACTCAGCCACAGTGCGCTTGAACTTATTCGAAAGCTCCAAAAATGATACCCAAAACGATACTTCAATTGGCAGTGACGAGACTTACGTTGATGCAAATTTTTTCATAGAGGCAGTGAACAAAAATCTTGACAAATCAGCACCGTCTTAGCGTCACTGCCACAGTGAGAACAACCCCATGTTAGAAGTCGAAGACCACGAGAACCATGAACCTCCGTTGACTCCTTTTATTAACAACGTGCTACCCCCGACTGGCGGAGTAAATTATAATGCTTTGCCAAGTCTGACTTCAATATTGTCAATTCCGTCACCAGATGCTTCGTCTGTTGCCAGTCCAACAACAAGAACAACCAGGCGTAAAAGAATTATACCATTACGAGCTGTGCCATTTGCCGGGTAAAAAAAAGCAAGAAAACACTAACTGTGAGCTACAAATGGAAGAAAGGACAATTTAGACATAAAGTTGACATTCCATCAAACGATTTTGTGTTTGATTTACCGGATACTGACTTTTCCATGGCGCAGGTGAAAGGTGTTGGTGGTCACCACTTCGCCATGGTAGTTTAGTGGAGAATGATAGACCAGTCGTGGGTTGGTAAATCACTGTATATTAATGTGTATGAACTGATGATATTTTGCTTGAGCTACTTATTTATACTAATTTGGTACGTGTGTCTTATGCTGATTCACAAGGCATGGTTGTTACTTTTGCTAGCACTAAGACGTGCCTGAATGTCGGAAGAGGGTTAGACATTCTGGCACGTCTGTGGCTGCTACAGACTCTCCATTGGACTTTTTTCATCATTTCTTTTCGCCAGATATACTCGTTGATATCGTCGATAACACAAACTTATACTCAACCCAAAGAACTGGCAAATGTATACAAATGACGCTCGAGGAGTTGAAGGACTTTCTCATGATTCTTCTTATCATGGGTATAGTGAACATGCCTTCTTATTTAGACTACTGGTCTATAGAATTTAGATATTCCCAAGTGGCTGACGTCATGCCATTGAAACGATTTGAGCAGATTCGACGCAACATTCATTTTGTGGATAACATAATTTCTGATGAGGACAGATATTGAAAAAATTAGGAGGAACTGCCTTGCAACGGAAGAAGAGACAAAGTTTAGTATCGATGAGATGACTATACCGTATAAGGGTACTAAAGCAGGAAACCGGAGACAGTACAACCCCATGAAACCAAATAAATGGGGATTTAAGAACGTAGTATGCGCTGGTGCATCTGGAATCGTCTATGATTTTCTGTTGTACGGCGGCGATGATACCTTCCGGTATATTGATTTTAGAGATGAGGAAGAGCACATGCCTCTAGGTGCTAAAATGGTACTAGCCCTTTGCAAGACAATTCAGACTCCCGGATGTGCAGTTTATTTCGATAACTATTACACAACCCTCGACTTGATCTGGTATCTCCGGGAACACTGTGGAATTTCTAGCCTTGGAACCATACGGCAAAACAGACTGAAAGGTAGCAGCAAAGGACTAGTAAGTGACAAGGAACTGAAGAAAAGCGGCAGAGGTTATTTTAGCCAAGTCGTAGTGTAACACATTTTTTTCCGTAGATCCACTAAATACAAAACAGAAACCAAATGTATCTTCTCTCCTTGGTATTTTTCACCATTCTTGTACGAAATGTCACTTTGACGTTATAGTCTAAAAATATTTAGTAAATTAGTTGAAACTTAAGTGTTGGTGTAATCTATTCTTTAAACCATTCACATATATATTACCTGTTGGTGAACGATTTTTCTATAAAATCAATATCGTGAATGGATTCCCTTTAATTTGACATATTTTTGAAAACACCAACCCTGGCTAATTTTTCTTGTATGGTAACACAGAATATTACTGCTGCGTACCAATTAACTCGATTTTACTTCTGTAGTCGAGCTTCATGAAAATTATCGCTTTTCTTTAATATTTCCACGTCGAACGCCGTCAAATAGTTTGCCAAGTACTTTCTGTTAAGTAAGATACGTAAACATGGAATCGCCATGTATTCTTGCGGGTTTAGGTGATAAGACTTGGGAGCTGTATCTAGGTGAATCGATAGATTGTCAGTGTGTGTCGTTGTTCGCGGGTAACATCTCTTAGGAGGAATTCGGCGGAAGCTCATCTTTTCCGTTCGACACGTCGGTGCGCAAGGTGTTCCAGATTTCCTAGATCGTCTACGGTGATTTATCCCATTGGGGGCATGGTCCCCCTATGCCTCTTTTTATAAAGTAATCAGGAATAGCCAGATGCCGTAATTATGGGTCTCCGAACCCTGTACCAAAAGTAAAACCCGTGTCACCGGACCGCATGGTGAGTTGACCTCTGGATTCTTTCCTTCATTAGATG